TCATGCATGAACACACAACATCTATTTTCTTTCTTGGAGGGCTGGCCACCTTAATTACGTGAGTAAAAGCCTCTTTCTCAGAGCAACATATACTTTTAAGGGTTTGTTTCAGTTTATTATATCAGAAACCCCCAAACAGCCCTCATTCGTCATGCAGCTTGTCATAAAAATGAACTGAAATAGCCTTTTAGACCTAATTTGAAGAATGAAAACAACAAAACAATTGATTTATCAAACTGTCAAAATGCCTTCCCATTTGAGAAAACCAGAGACAAGTAATATAGAGACTGATTAACTGAAGGCAAAATAGAACCAACAGTTCAAATTATTAATGTCTTATTTTGACATCATCTCAGTGAAGCGGATACGGATAGGGAAGTTCCATGTTTCGTCCTCTTACAAGAAATGAATGGTTCATAAATCACTGAGTCCAAAGATAATTTACAGCCTTCCTATTTCATATTCTACCAGAAACCCTTTTAGTTTGATTAAAAGACAGTGTAACACTGCAGATGTCATGCATTTATAAAAGAAAGTCAAAACATGAACTCTCTATGTAAAATTAATAGGAGATATGCTGAGCTAAAAAAGTGATTATTCTTTTATTATTGTGAACAATAATTTATACACAATGAATGAAACATGTTTACTAATAATTTAATTTGATCTACATGTTGATTTAACTTTGTAGAAATAAAGTGTACTGGCATTGTTATAATGCATTATATTAACTGCAATATTTCAGGTAATCGTAGATTTGCTAACTAGTAGCTAACATTTGCCACCTATGCACATTTTGTGTCTTCACTTGCTTTTGCTACTATGTGCTTTGTGTTTCAATTCAAAGCAACACTTAGTAAAAATATGTGTCTGCTTAAAGTGAACAATAGGAGAGGAAAACTAAGTTAGTCCAAACAACAGTAACATGATAAAAAAATTGCTAGCAAATGTAGCACATCTTGACATATAAATACATTTTTGAATATACCCCCACTTTTGTTTTGGACAGAATTTCAATTATTTACTGTATGCAGATCTTGGCATAGTTATCAATAAGCTGTGTAATGTGAGCTACTGCAACATGCTACACCTGCAAACCAAATTCTTCAACATCTTATTTTCTGTAAAAACACAGAAAATAAGATGAAATTTCAGAAATTTCACTCTGAAAGTGAAATTTCAGAGTCCAGTTTGGACTCTTTAGTGAAGAGTTGTCGTTATCAAAAGCTTAAAATGAACAAAAGATGTGAAATAAATAATGAATACATCATTTATCAACTTTAAAGTCCATACAGCTTTGCAATTTATTGTTTCTATAAAAGATCATTTTGAAAAATCACAACACACCTGAGACAATCATGCGTCAGTATTTTTCTCATTCAGCAAGACACACCAGCTTTGTATCCCCATCAGTCTGTCCTGCTGACACTGATCAATAGCAATGGATATGCAGAGGATAGAGACAACAGGGGCACTGACAGCAGGAATGGATTTTACAGGCAGCCAGTCAGTACAGTCACACAGGGATTAGACATTGTGTGAACCTGTCAAAGCAAATGACTTACTTCACCCATTTCTCATCTTCCTTGAACAGTGATGTGGTGAGATTCGGCGCAATTCTTCCAAATGATGGCAATAATGAATGCAATGACAACAACCATATGTAATCATTTGTACTGTGTGGAGTTGTGTGTTGAAATTAAAGAAATTCTCTGCAGCCCTCAAACAGAGAACAACAATCTGGTGCCATAACTTACATCTGGATGTAATGAGAACATAAACAATCTGTGTGCGACAAAGATTAGTCTTGTTGAAATTCATACGCAAGGAGGCTACATTTATCAGCCAAAGCTTTTTAAATTCTAACTAGGCAGCCATCTCGCCACCCAGTCATGAATTTTAAATACACCCATTCATCCGAAGAGAATAAATCTGACACCAGGTGTCATTAGTAGAAATCTGGTGTAGCATACCTGACTTTAGTCAATGCAATAATAAACCTTGAATCTGATCCATATTGAGTGTTTATGCTTTGCCATTTCTGTTCTCTGATAAAAGGTTCAGATCTGAGAGCAGTGATTATGCTGACTAAATTAATATTATGTGTTTAAAGCAGAAAAAGAACCTTCACTGAATTATAAGAGTTAATGTAGCAACACTAGAAAAATTGACTTCAATTGAACCACACACGAATGAAATTAAGCCTCTTCCCCTCTTACCAAACAAATGGATTATTTCCCCTGATGTACAGGAAATTAATTTGGTGCATAGAATATGTACTACAATAAAACAATTTTCAGTGTATGTTCATTGATTGTATGAGAAAATGTTGAAGGCTGCATTCATTAGCCTCGTCCTCCAGGGACAAAGGCTGTATTTTATTGATTATCAGTGGGGTGCTGCCTATTGCAGTGTTTGTGAATCACCCAGATTGCAAATAACCTAAAGTTCAGTTGGCTGGTGGATCAGCAGTACAGATGTTTAGATAATCCCTCCACTTGCCCCCACTGTGACTCAGTACTGTGAGTCATGGCTTTCAAATCCTTTAATATCAATCAAATGTGAGAGGTTAGCTTCCTCACATTACGAGGCCATCCTGAATCCTTGATATCTTTGTTTGACCCTTCAATAACTCTGTGCATTTCATTCCTTCAAAAAGTTCTGTCTGAAAAAGCAAGCGAAGCTCGAGGGAAAATGCTGCTGAGACATGCATGCCTATCAGTCTTGTCATATTGGTTGTAGCAGATCAGATACAATTATCTGAATAGTGTCAGCACCTGCCAAGATGTCTGGAGCTATGCCTGGAAGCAAAGTTAAAAACAAAATCTTTCCTTTGGATTATCTTTGAACTCACAAGAATAATAAAACAAGTAAATGAAAAACATCTACCCTTAACCTTTAAACTGTGGAAAATAGTGTTGTTGAGATAAAGTATAAATGCTATACTTTTTGTTGTCTTACTGACCACTCAGACTGCTTTACACTGGAGGCATTTCCATTTTCTCTACCAAATGTGCTCACATTCATACACGGATATACAGACCAGTAGGCGACTTACGGTTAAGTGAATATGTGACAGGAGGAAGCTGGAATAACGTGCTGAGGTCCAGGCCGGATTTGAACCAAGAACGCATTGCTGTGAGGGAACAATACTTCCAAGAGTCCCAACAGTACACTCCAAATAAAGCAAAATAATTAATTATTTCTGGGTATAATAAGATTCACAGTGGAATCTAGTTTCCCATAACATCTAAATTTTTTTCCCTAATATGGCTTGGCTAACACTCTTGTTTAAGAGGTTTCTTGATTTCTAGAAGAGCTTTTTGCACAAAGCTGAGTCACCTGAGTCTGAGCAAAGTCTTAAAGCAATGGTGGCTACCAAATAAATGATTGAATGAGATGTCTCTGTTGAACTCAATGATGTTCTGAATAGGAAATTCAGCTGTGCGGGAAGAGGGACACATCTTAATATGCAGGACATAGGCTCTTGAAGACTGGAGTTAACCAGCTCTGTAATAAGGAGTCTAAAATACACCTTGAGTTTTATACAGTACTTCTATAAAGTGGACCAGGATTCTAAATCCCCTTAAATCATGTACAATTAATACTATCACTTGTCATCTGTTCAAATCTTTTCGTTTTAGGTCAGTTAGGTTTATGAAAATTTCTATTTTCTATGACAAAATAATGAGATGTGCGTATATGTATATAATAAATGTTTAATGCTTTCTTTAAAATGACTGGACATCCTGGTGCTCTTACATGCACAGCACATGCTGTTCAAACAGATGATCTTGGCACCTAAATTAATCTGGAAATTAAACTATAGGATGAACCAGACTGGCAAAAATCCACAATTCTCTATTATTATTTTTGTTTATTCCATATGAGTTTCTCTTCATGTCACACATTAGAATAAAACTTGACTGATTCACCTCAGTGACAGAAGCACAGCTCTATCCACCCACACATCCCAAATGACATCTAGCTCAGTAAGACACTGAAAAGTAATGGAAAAATATTTTTCAGAAAAAAGTTTCTTAGCTTTCAAAGTAACTTTTTTTTTTTTTTTTTTAATCAGAGAAGGATAAAAAACTAAATCTGTCTTTCAAAACGTCAAGTGAGAGATTGTGGTGTTCAAAAAGGAAAGCTGCTGTCTTAATGGATTGAACATTGTGTATCAATATGACCTAAAAATAATGTTGTTTTTCTGAGGATGGCCTCTGACGGAAACATAAAGGAGGAAATGCTGCAAATAAGCACTGTGAGAGAAAACTGTATTCCTTGATGTCTGGAAGGCAAATACCTCTGGGAGGGAGGTAAAGTCCTTCTTGATTTATTGGATTTGAGGATAGATGTGTGTCTCTGGGAAGGGGTAGTAAGAAGTACCACCGCAATACGGCTCTACAATTCTCTTCTGCAAAACAAAGAAAGCAACTTTTTCTTTCTTATGAAATTGAAAGGCAAATAACACACAGCAATTAATGTACACAATTATCTAAATAAGAACAAAAATATGTTACAGGAAATGTTGGCAAGGAAGAGAGAACAGAATGTGTTTTTTTTTGACTTCCTACCTGGATTTAGGTCAACTTTTTGGTATATTTTGTAATTTGACATTCTACATGTTGCTTTTATTCATTTCAGTTTAACGCCTTTTCCAAATGTCGACTGTTTATTGATTGCAAGCAAGAGGGGCTAAGGTAAAGCTCTTTCCAAGCCACCCCCTGATAGCATACGCTGAAAATTACAAACAGGATCCATACTTTGTAACTGTGTGTGGGGCAAGCGTTCAAAAGGTAAAAGCTAACACAGTAAGATTAATTGCTTGTAACATCCCTTCTGGCAGCTTGCAGGACTCTCTCTAAAGACTCAGAAGTCAACCACATCCTGAAAGCCACTCAACTGAAGTGGGTCATTTGCATTCATTAGATTTTAGTGGAGCAGTTTCTACATTTACTATGTCTTATTTTCACCTTCTAGATCATTTTCTCCAGGAATCATGCTTGGTCTATTGTTCATTCTGATAAGGATGCTTTCACTCAGCTGTCATGTTTCTGGGTAAGAGATGGATGATCGGAGCTGACCAAACTTCTGGATGAAGTCCTGCTGAGCCTGGATTAAAGCTTCTTCGTCTATGTAGACTGCTGGCCTCCTGGAGGTGACAAAGTACTGCACCCTCCTGAGGCTCCAGCCGAGGATGTACATGAGAAGGCCGCATACTGCCGCCGTGGACCTGCCGACCCCGGCATTGCAGTGGACGTACACGGTGTGGCCATTTTCCAGGAGTCCATTTAGCAGGAATACAGCCTGGGGAAGCATCCTGATCCGACCTCCAAAGAAAACCACAGATATCATAAATTAGTCATTCTCTCAGATCCACTTTGATATGATTAATGTTGCTAATTCTTGTTTAGTAAAATATAGATATTCAATATTGAAGAATGTTTTTGAAACGCAATAATTTGTCATAGTTGCTATCTTTTTTCTCATGCTTTTTCTATTGATCCTATCCTGAGAAAAAAAGTATATATTATAAATGAATAATCTGCAGTTTTCTTAGAGAACCAGCCACACATATTGATAATAGTGATGTATTGTAATAAATAGGTGCATGTTATCAAAATATGTAGATATAAGGCTCTGAGGCTTCATCAATACCTAAAATGAGTCTTCAGACTTTTTTCATTTATCTTATCTTTGAGTCACTTAAAAACAAATACAAATCTATACTGTGCTCTAGTATTTGAATCCTCTTTTCTCCAAACTATCAGGGATGCTTCAATAGGAGTCATACAGTTTGTCTGATATCTTTGTGACTGGTCACTTTTCCCTTCTAAAATACAAACATAATCAATATGTAAACCCACTTCTTACCCTCTGTGCTCATGTCAGGTGTTGGTAGCCACACATACACAATGCCACAGTCTTTGTACAAATGCATCAAGGCATCAGAGCTCATGGCTTCCTCGTGGTCACGTCTGCATCCACTGGAGTTGTTCACCACGTCCCACTCTGTCTGGAAGTTCATCACAGCAGTGATGCCCAGTTCATGCTTCATCTTTATGGTCACGTGCTCCACCTGTCGAGGGCAGCTTCCCAGCCAGACATGTGGCAGAACTCTAGGATCAGCAGACAAGGACAGATTTATAATTCTTGTCAATTACATTTTTATGTGAGAAAATAACAGAAATATGTTGGTCAGTTAAGCCAAAAATCTTAAATCTGTTAGCAATTATGATTTGTACTTTTACAGCTATTGTGAAAACAAATGAGAAAATTCTAACTGCTAGTGAGCTGCAGGCTTCGCCTGTATTTTCTGTCTCTCAACATTCTCTTGTTCTCAATCACAGATCTGATGTTTTCTTGACTTGCATCCCTATTTCTTTTTTTTCCTGGTCCCCATAGTCTGGGGCAGACTGTTGAGTGACTATTAGTATGCACAAAGTCAACAAGCAGAGGAGGTGACACGTGAAAGACAGGACAGACACTGTTAATATGTGGTGTCTCATTATAGCACTTTGGTCTTGGGACGTTCTCATCAGGTGGACTGATGTTTTGGGGGTTTATTCTTTAAAAAAATAATCTCAAAAACAGCTTTTATTTTTTTTATTTTTTTTTTTTTAGCTTTATTCCCATAAATAAGACACAAAATTCTATATAATCAGTAGATGTCTTCTCTTTCTACTTATGAGAACGACAGGCTAGTTATAAAATAGGAAAAGCTCTTTGAATGTATTGCTGACTTACCACAGAGTGTGTGCATGATTCTTGGGGCTATCTGGATACACAGTTGAAGAAACTAAATTAGAAAGCTATTAATAGGCGAGTTACAAATTCACCGTGCTTCCTCCTGAACACCGGCCCTTGACATAAGACTTGTAAGGTCTTTTAGGCGCAAATTAAAACCCGATGGCACAAGCAAGCCCAGCTCATTCTTATGCAAGTAAAGCACTCACAGCTTTAGGGATCTTTTTGTGCCTGCAGTAGCGTGGCACTGACTCTGTGCTCTACAAAGACTTGACCTGTCTGAGAGATTTGGTTCACAATGGTCTAAGATAGAGATTTTTATGATGTTTCAAAGCAGTTCTATTTTTTTTTAATCAAAGCTAAAGCCAGCTTCACTTGTTGCTCAGAACATGACATTTACTGTCTGCGCTCCCACTGATCCTGCAGCAGTCAACCAAAGTTCATGACTTCTGATAGATGAAGGGATGGCAGGAGAATCAAAGGACAGAACAGCAGTGGGGAAAAAAGAAACCAAACATGGTGGTGAACTGTTTTATACAGATGAAGGAGCACAGTACAGATGGTCACTATTTGCTAATCTACAGTAAATAATATATTTCATATGAAATTATCAGGGAGACTGTGTTCACTAATACACAGTTTTGTCTGTTGAGTAAAGCAACAGTTTCGAATGCATGAAATGTTGCATCTTGACTTAACACCAGTCCTGCAATAATTATGTTTCAATACGTAGATTATGAAGAAACATAATAGATAGATGCCAGCATCACCAAATAAGTACAAATGAATCTTATAAATAAAGAAAAATCAAAAGTAGAAACCACTGCTTTGAACTATTTTCTTGCACATAGGGGCAAAATAATGATTAAACCAACTCAGGTTGTTTTTGAACATTTTATTTTACAAATCCAAAGTAAAGAGAAGAATCCTGTGCTGAAGAATTACCGTATTTTCCAGACTATAAGTCGCACCAGCCATAAAATGCATAATAAAGAAGAAAGTGCAACCGCAGTGCAACTAATATATAAGTTGTATTTTTGAGGGAAATTTATTTGATAAAATCCAACACCAAGAACAGACATGTCATCTTGAAAGGCAATAAAAATAGGATAGAGGCAACAACAAGCTGAATAATTGTACGGATAACGTTACATGACAAACAAAGAACTGAGAACATGCCTGATATGTTAACATATTAAGAGTTATTCAGAAAACTAGCATAAATAACATGCTAAAGAGTTTACCAAACCATTCGAGTCACTCCAAATCACTAAACGCAATAAAATCTTCGTCCATGGTGTCGCTTGTAAATAACTTTGCTAACTCCGAAGGTAGAATAAAACAGGCCTGGAGCGCCCTCTTGTGGTTTAGTGTGGAAATAACATGTGATGTGACATAATGGTGTGTTAATTTCCACACATAAGTTGCTCCGGAGTATAAGTCGCAACCCCGGCCAACCTATGAAAAAAACTACGACTCGTATGCTAGTATGCTGGATAAAGGCATTGGTTGTATTAGTTTTTACTTTGGGGTATTTGAGAGTGGACGATATTTGCAGGTCAGAATTTGATTAGTGAAAAAAATCCAAATCTACAGATAATTGTCCTTTAGCTTTAAAATTACGCACAAGTTTATGCTTATCAAACTACCGTTCGTTAACAAAAGTGGCAGTAGCATATCAAAATTTGAAAAAGTTTGTAGTGAAGAATACTTTTTATAGGCATATTACTGGACATAAAACAGAAGTAAAATAAAAACTGAAAACAAAAATGGTAAATATTATGAATGTTGAATATTGTTGCATTTAGAAGGCCAGGTTTTGTTTAGTATCCATCCATGGTAGAGGTCTCCCTACATGTAAACCTTGAGCAGAGCTCAGCTTCAGTGCAACTATTCACGTTGAGAATAGTTGCACGGTGTGAAGGAAAGACTGGAAATAGAAATGAGATTTTTTTTCTGCCTCTCCCATCAAGAGCATAGACAGTTGTGGTGTCTTAAGGTACTGAGGAAGAACATTTTGACAGAAGAAATTCAACTTAGAGGCAGAATATATATTTATTCAAAACCCTTTTTTTTAAAAAAAAGAAAAAAAGAAAGACAGTTATGTCAAAACGTGTGCTTAAGCGAAGAGATCGGCCTGATGCAACCCTCCAGGCTGCTCAAGAAACAGTCACTGTCTAGATTTCTAGAGGCCAAATGTTAAAGGCACACACAACAAAAGTATCTACATACCAGGACAGCTCCAAGTCAGGATATTCTGCCTCTTTTCATTTCCTTCTGTTTGTCTGCGATTCATTTTTTTATACTGTAAAAGAAAATGAAGCACCTCCAGCCCCAGAGAATCAGATTTATTGTTTTGTGCAGAAAAGCTGGATTGTTTTCATTTTGGCATTTTGGAAGTTGAATGATGAAAAGAACATGCAAATAACGAAACATGACAAATAAAAAAAATATCATCCAACAAGAAGATATTACAAAAAATTGTTAATTAACTTATGTGCTAAGTTGTAAAATTTCCTTACAATAAATCTGCTTTTGATTTTTTTTTTCTTCAAAACTTAAGATATGGATGCTGCAGCTAATTGTTAAAATTCATTTACTAAAGTTGTCAAATAAAGAGAATCATGCTAAGCATTCGGTGCCTCTAAAACGTACTCAGCTCCTTGGACTCTTTTTATTACACTCACAAATTAATCATGATCAACTAATTTTGTCTTTTTTGAGAAAATAAATGTACAAAAAAGCCTCACAATGTCACAGTGAAACTAAATAGTAATAATACTGAATAATGACATGAAATAAAGAGAATTTACAAAAATAATTGATTGCATAAATATTCACACCCCTTAAAGTGACTGACATAATATAACAAAAGTCCATTGTGCTAGTAGTCTCACACTTGAGTGTGTCTCAAGTGGTTCTAGTATGTAGACACCTGTGTTCAGAGCTGTATTCACTGGCGATTGTTACATCATGAAGACAAAACAATCCAAGCCAATCAGAGAAAATACTGTTGAAAAGCAGATGTAGGGGAATAGACACAAGACATCTAAGAACTGGAGTTCAGTTAAATTCAGACAGGAAATGGAAGAAATATGACACCTAGATCAAAATATTTGCTGAAATCTTCACAAGTGACCATACAAAAAGGATTCTAGTGAGAGAAGCCATCAGGTCACTCACGACTATGCTGAAGGAGTTACAAGCTTCAGCATCAGAGATGGGAAAGGCGCTGCAGTAAATGGTTGCCTGGGTTCTTCACCGGTCAATGTTTTATGGGAGAGTGGCAATGAGAAAACTAATGTTGAAGAAAACTCTCATAAAAGGCTCGACTAGTGATGAACCCCCCCCCCCCGCAGGACTCAATGGTCAAGTGGAAGAAAATTCTTCGGTCTGATGAGAAATGAGAAGGGCTGTGGACAGTCAATCACCAGGCCACCTGACAAGATTTTGAGCAGTTTTTCAAAGAAGAATTGAGTAAAATTGCCTTGTCCAGATGTGAAAGCCCAACTATATCTACACAGATTCAATTCTGATTGCAGCCAAAGGCACAGCTACTAAATACCAATTTGTAATCACTTATTTTGTGTAAAATATTTTGTCATTATTTTGCAAAAGTCAGTTTTTATTTACATTTTTAGTTGAAAATGTTGTTCTTCATGATTTATGAAGTAATAAAAAGGGTGAAACAACCATTGGGGGGACGGCGTCTTTTCATAGGTGCTGTCTTTCAAATTATACAGTTACCTGGAGAAATGTATGGCCTTCTGACCTGCAACCTTAAAGTAGAAATTGGTGGTGTGTCTCATCTCATCAGTGTGTCCCGTTTCCTCTATCCAGTGACCAATCGGGTGGCAGTACACTCCGTTCACCACATTTCTCTCATCATATAAACACTGCCTGTCATGACTTGGTCCGCTACCTATGGACAAACAAGACCACAGGTTATTTTTGTTTTTGTATTAAAGGACATTTATATTTAAATTTTCTGATAGTGCATCCAATCAAACACCAATCACTCTGTAAACCTAGAAAAGAGACACAAATGTCCAATAATTGGATGCAGTATGAGTTTTGATGCATTTCTGCAGGTTTATATTAGTAAAAAAAGTTTATTTGACTAAAACAATTGACAGTCTTGATACCAACCACAAGCACTTCTTATATTTCTGACATCTGATAGTCATGAAGCCAAAAATTGAAAGACGTTTTGAACAACTCCTCAATAAATAAACACACGGGTTCACGGAATAAATGAAATACATAAATGAATTCCTTTATCTAAGAATATTAATATTTGTGCTTGGAAACGTTATTTCAGCTTTAATAACAGTTAATTCGTTTGTGTTAAATAATACATTTTGAAATGATCCAAGACACGTTGCTGCCATCATGTGGCTGTAAATATGTATTACATCAAGTGCACCACTCGTTTAGATATGGCGACGTACTTATATCCTCTCTTTGCTAAGGCAATATGACACTGGTTTCAGTCCTTTCGGTGTGTCGTGTTGCTGCATATATATGTAAATCGTTGCGTACCTTCCCAGATAAACGCGTCCCGGGCCTTTTTGATAAACTTGAACCACAGCGAGTCTTTGAACGGCTCGGCCAGCTCCACCTCTCCGGTCCACAGACACGGTTCATCTGGTGACGGCAGCTTCTGCGAAGCCTTCATCCGAACCGCCCTGCTCGGGTCCCAGTGACCCATTTCCTCACGCGAACCCAGAAGTAAAACCTTGACGTCCGAGGACTCCGGAGTCAGAATGACACCGAACCTGAACAGCATATTAGCAGCAGTAGCTAAACGTCTCTAAATCATGTCCTCAGTTTCAAAGCGCTTAGTCTGGTACTGAAAGGAGTGTTATAGGGGTTCTGTAAGTCCGTGAGGGACACAGACTGTGGACTGTGATCCTAAAAATAGTCAGGCCCGGTGATGGTCCGTTTGGCATCAAAGATATGGTTTAGATGCAGACGGTTCACTCTCTCGGAATCCCGAGGAACCAATCACGGGCCACGGAGAGAACACAGGAATGAACGAGGAAAGCTTCTGCATGTCGACGGCTTCAACAAGCATGCAGAGGCGTCCAAAGGTTCTTTAAGGCCCGAGGACCAGACGTCACTCTTCTAAAGCTTTTTTTCTGTCTTTTATTTTAGCTCAAATCCCAATTGTTTAGAACAGGACTGGAATATTATTAAATTAAGTAGTAAATTGAAGGAATTAATTTCGGTCCTTTTTTTTTTTTAAGAACAACGTGTTCAAATCAGCAGCAATTCAAGACAAATTTTGTGGATCTATTACTTATAAAACCACCTTCAATTGATACCTGAGCAGTAGCCTTTTACTGAACTGCAATAACTCAGGTGTGTAAAAGCAGGGAATCATCGAAAACTTGCAGGGCAGTCGGCATTCAGGGCCAGGGTCAGGAAAAACTAATCTAAAATATTTGGTTAAACAAAAAAAAAATGCTTGGCAAGATTTTGTGTTTTTCAAGTTGTACAATTAGATGTATTTTAAGTTAGCTGCTAATGTATAATTGCAGCGAGACTGTGTGAAAGAATGGGAAAAAAAACTTATTGTAGATCTAACAATTTTGATGTCTACTGTTTAGGTTGTAAAGAAATAAGACTCTTGCATACTGTGACCAAGTGCCACAAAGTAAACATTTGATTTTTACTTTTGCAAAATTTACCAACTCTAAATTTGTTGTACAGATAAACAGTATTTCAGAAGAGCTTATGTGATACAAACAATAAAAGTACTTACCAATTCGGCTTTTAGAGATGAACATTTTTATCCCCGGGTAACAAACTGCCGCGAAGTATAAATCAGATTACTACTTGTCTGCCTTATAACATATTTACCACCAATGACAAAAAAACATTTTCTCTTTTATGAAAAATCCACTAACTGCATAATTCTCAAAAGTAGTACAAAATAAATGGTATTTCAAAAGAACAAAAGAAATCTTATGTTTTTTGAAAATATTTGTTGTTAGTCTTTTGCTAAGAGACGAGCAAGTCCTGGTAACCAAGTGCCACAAAGTAAACACCTGATTTTTACATTTACAAAATTTACCAACTGTAAAATTTCTGTGTAAGCAGTATTTCAAAAGAGCTTATGTTTTATGAGCAACAATATTAATTTGATGTTAAGAAATTAGTGTTTTTTCTTCTAACGAAGTACCACGAAGTATAAATCAAATTTTTACTTTTGTATTGAATGCTTGTTTTATAATATACACTTACCACCAATGACAAAAAAAAACCCCACAAAACAAATATTTTCACTTTTCTGAAAATTTCACCAACTGCGAAATTCTTAAGTTGTGATAAGTAGTATTTAAAAAGAGCAGAAGAAATCTTATGTTTTTTGAACAATAACAATATTTGTTGTTAATCTGTTGCTAAGAGATGAGCACATTTTCTGGTAATGAAGTGCCATGAAGTAAACGTGGTATAGTTACAGAAAAATGGTATTAATGTGTTTTTATGTATCTTAAACAAATAAACTAACAATGTGACATTCAAATGTGATGACTCTTAAAATCCTAAATCTTTTAAACTATACCTAAAATCAGGATCTTGAACAGCCAGCTTCTTACATAACCTGTAACCTCCATGTGGAGGGCAACACAGTTAATGATTGTTTTATGAACAACTGTCTAGGCCACTCCATGGTCCAAACATAACATTTCTGTGTTCAAAATGTGTCGTTTTCCTTTTTGTGATGATGGGCTTTAAATCTCTAATCTCAACTGAAAAAATAAAAATCCAACCAGCCCAATACTTGTCATTTTGTTGAATTGTTTGTAGGGGCATGTTCAGTGTTGCTCAAACTTTGGTCTTGAGAAAGAGCCAGTTTGGGTCGGAACACAAACTAACTTTATTTCTGCTGTGGTGATGATAAATAAAGCAGCTCTTCATTCATCACCACAGATGAATGAACATTTTTAAGTGATAAATCCGGTTTTGGACAAAAATTGGGCAAGAAACCTACAAGATTTATTTTCCCTTTGAGACCAACTGCACAGCTTCTAGTTATGAATGGGACGAAGCAGTCTGGCTACCAGCAGGTAATCTTTACTGAACATGTTACTTTTCTAGTAGAACACGCCTCTTTCACATTCCTTCATGATGTATTCAAGGCAAAGGTGAAGAGTCGCATTTTGAATTAGTCTTGAGGCTGATTTAAACAAGACAGGTATGTGTTTATTGAGACTTCACAGGTTGTTTTTTTAGGAGAATTATCATTCAGATTAAGAAACGTAATATACTTTCATTTAGACGTTTGAATTCACAGTTTTGTTTTTCTTCTGGACAGCTGCCTCGAAGAAACAATGGCTGAATACAAACTGGAAGTGACAACTGGTAGCATGAAGCATGCAGGGACAACAGACAACATCTATGTCATCTTGTTTGGGTCAGAAGGGCAAAGTGAGCGCACAAAGTTGGACAATTCTGGGATCGACTTTAAAGCTGGGAAGGCAAGTTGCGTTCTGTTAAACGTGGTTTCTGATTTTTAAACAAGTTAATCAAGTTTTCAAAGCGTGATCGACTAGTCTTGTGACTCTTGTGTTTTTCTTTCTTTGTATGTTTGTCATTTTATACACCTTTCTTTTACCTTTAATAAGTTAATGTAATTGGAAAATGATACCTTTAGGAGTGTGAACTATTACAGAACAGAGTGAAGAAAATAAGTATTTAATCCCCTGATTTTCTCACCTTCATTGCTTACAGTCTTTTATGTTTTAGTTTCATTTACAGTAATAGAATGTCACATACACACCCAGAAAGAAATTCAGGACATAATATTTCAAACATTCTTTAAATGTTTTGACAAAGATAAGTATAGTTGGTCAAATAAGTATTGATCACAATAATGATTTCCTCAGGAAATATAGTTATACAATGTTTCTACAAACAAGACATTTACACCACATGTACATGAAAATAAAAGCAAATTACCTCACACATAAAAATAAATAAAGTCTTCACAGTAGAGGCTCAAATACTATTTTCCTCTCAATAAATGTAATACTTCAGTTTAATCGCATTAGATCAATACATTTAATTTTTTTTCTTTTTTGTCTCTCAGACAAGAACATACACAGTCAAACCCGCCTCATCTCTGGGGAAACTTCTGTTCATAAAGGTGGAAAAAGATCCTCTTTTCATCTTCCCAGAAAACGAGTGGTACTGTTCCAAAATCGTAGTGACGGCTCCGGAAGGGGACACAGTTGTTTTCCCCTGCTACAGATGGATTTCCAGAGGTGAACTTGTGGAGCTCAGAGGAGGAAAAGGTGTGATACAAATGTAACCTATTTTAAATGATAACACTACATAATAGATCTTGTACTTTACCTGTAAAGGAGACTTTCCAGAACTCACAAACCATTTTTGGGAACTATAATGCAAAGTACTGATTATTTTTGCTGTGAACTTTGCAGGATTCTTTGAAGCATGTTCTATATTTTAAAAAACTAGACAAAGTGTGTTGTCTAAGGTCACCAACTTAGACAACAAAGAAGAGGTAGATAAATTCCAGGAAAGTAATTATAAAGTTTGATGAAAGTTCCTCAAAATAAGTTTTAGAAAAGTTTCTAAAAATAAAAGTCTGAAAAGCGCCAGAGGAGCACTTGGTTAATTCTGGGAAAGTATCTGGTTAGTTCAGGGATATTAATAGGGAAGTTTTATAAAAGTTTTCTAGGTGCTTGGAAATTACAGGTAAGTAGCAAGTATGTACTATAAAAGTACATGTAGTGCCACCAAATGCATTTTAAATAACGGATGTTAATCTATTCATATATGGGTAATAATTAATTTGAATGTAATCGTTTTTAAATGTGGAAGCCATGACAGTTTTTGAGGAGGAACATTCCCTGCTGACCGATCTTCGAAAAAGAGAACTAGAACTTAAAAAGAGTTTATACAAGTAAGTTTCCATTACACTTTGTCACAGGAGCTAATCTGAACAATCTTTAAAACTTGTTTTTCTGTCTCAGGTGGGAGATTACTGATGAGAAGTTGCCACATACCAGTCACTTTAAAGACATATCTGAGCTCCCTGCAGAAATTTGCTTCTCGTTGTCCAAATCAGAACAGGTTCAATATACAAAAAGAATGATGTGAGGCAAATGTTACAACATCATCATCATCACAATCTCCTTCTGTTTTTAAACCGATATGTCTGCACTGATTTACGCACATTTGTTTTAGAGGCTCTGAACTGAAATTCAAAGGGCTGGCTGAATCCCACAAAAAATGGAAAGACATCGATGACATGAAAAAAATCTTCTGGTCCAAAAAGACAACACTATCAGGTAGATCACACCACTTCAGTAAAAATAACATGGTGTTTGTACATTTCTCTTGTCTGATGTCTTTCAACAAGGAGATTAATTGATCCATCACACCAAAGTGCTTGGTTGCAAACAATGTCAATTTGTAAATACAAAGAAAATCCTAGTGAGACATGCAAGCTTTATTTTGTATGTCCAGTCCAGATTTTTCTTTCTTTTTTTTTATAAAGATTAAACAGATTCTCTATGACTAATGTAATATGTATGCCCAAGCACAAAAAGTCTACATACATATATATGTGCAGAGCACAGCTAACAGAGATCAAAAGACTAATCATAACTTTGTACATGCACTATTTTGGACATTTCGAAAATCTTACAAGGATGATGTAACATGGAGCTACTAAGACTTTTTTATTATTATTTTTGCTATAAGATAAAATAATGTAATTTATTTTTACTTGTATTTTTTCCAGAGTATGTTTCAGAGCACTGGAAGGAAGATGACTTTTTTGGATTCCAGTTTTTGAATGGAACAAACCCCAATGTGATAAAGCGCTGCTCCAAACTTCCCCCAAACTTTCCAGTGACTGATGAGATGGTGAAACCTTTTCTGGAAACTGGAACCACTCTGGAAAAGGAAATGAAGGTTCAAAAAACTATTCATGGACTGACATTTATCTTTAATTATCCACA